GTTTCGATCATAGAGCAAAAAAAAAAAAAAAAAAGAAAGGAAAGAAAACAAAAATAGACGAAGGAACGAAATGCGAAAGCAACAAGCAGGGACAGTAGTGAATTAGTAAATAAATACTAGTGCCTCGGTCGCATTCGCACAATGACCGAGATCTCTCTCTCTCTCTCTCTCTCTCTCTCTCTCTCTCTCTCTCTCTCTCTCTCCCCCATTTCTATCCTTCTCTTTTTCTTTTTTTTTCTTTTCACTTTTTTTCACGTTTGGACTCTATCCAAATAACCCGCCGCAAATAGAAAATCGATAAAACGAAAGGCGCGCATTCACCGGATTCATTAATTCCACAACGTGGCCGAGTCGTTTGATGGTATTTGCCGCAGGAAAACGCGACGAAGTATGCGTTTTTCTGAAATTCTATCTGATTTAATAGGAGCTAAGGAAAAACAAAAAAATAAAAAAATAAATAAATAAATAAATAAATAAATAAACAAAATAAGGAAGAGAGTAAGAGTGCAAAAAAGAAAAAATTCACTTACTTGTGTATCGTTGTCGTTCGTCGAATGAATTTTGACCTGTTTTTCCTACGAATTGTTTTAATATGTAGAAACAAAAAAAATTTTGGAATTTTGTTTTAATAATTCAAAGACGTCAGACGAGGCAACAGATTAATGGGGGAAAAAAAAAAAATATTTATATTTATATATACATATGTATGTGAAAGAAAAAATTCATTTTTTTCATTAAATTTTAATATATACATTAATGCATGCATTAATTATAGCTGATATAGATAAAGATAAATTTTTATGTTTTAAATTTAATTTATGAAATATTTACTCTCTCATTTTCATTAATTATTCTCTTTTATACAAAACTAAAATAAAAACCAAAATAAAATAAATATATATATATATATATTTATTTATTTATTTATTTATTCACAAATCTTTGGCCAATTTCTTTGACAGATATATATGTTTATATGGAACGCGGATATGTGTGTGTATGTATTTACGAATAATATGCGTACTACGTATGCGTTTAAAGGGAAAAATACTTTCGAGCTATTAAACAAATAATTCTTTATGTAATTTTCACAGGCGAATTCCAGTGTGGAACTTCGTATGACACGGCACGGCACGGCATGGAATAGTATGGTATGGTATGGTGTGGTATAGTGTGGTATGATGTGGTATGGTACGGTGCAAATGCTCTTTTAATCAAAATAAAATATGCCACTTTTACTTTGACAGTGGCACATTTGTCGGTATGTACCACCTCTCCTCAATTGTTTATCTAACGCCAATAGAAAACTTTGAAGGATTGTATACGGGAATGTGCGTATCGTTAGAAAAACGCACACTGAAATAAAATGTCGGAATATTTGTGGATACAATTGTGAGTGCGTAGTGTATCCGTGTGTATATGTGTGTGTGTGTGTGTGTGTGTGTGTACGCGTATGTGTGTATCAGCATTACCATAAAAATCCAACTTATATATTCGTTTCAATGAAGTACCGTGAAAACGTTGTGTGAACTATTTGAACTTTGTAAACGCTGATGCGTTATAAAAATATCGTAAAACGAAAAAGGAAAAGAAAGAAAAAAAGAAAAAGAAAGAAAAGAAAAAAGAGAAAACAGAAAAGAAGGAAAGAAAGGAAAGGAAAAGAAAATCCAATCTCTCGATTTTTTTTTTTCTTTTTTTCAATTTAATTTCTTATCCCTCGTTATTTCTTTCTTTATTTTCGTTTTCTCTATATATGCACTGTTTCGTTTCTCTTTAAGAAAGCCATGCGAAAAGTATTCACGAAGCGCGGACCACAAAATTTACCGACACTTTGCTTGTCATACATTTTAAACTCCATACGTTTATTCGTTTTTCGTTAGCACTTTTTACATCCCTTTTTATACAGTTACTACCGGTAAAAAGGAAAAAAAAAGAAAAAAAAAGGAAAAAAAAAGAAAAAAAAAAAAAGAGTCGTTTTATTCGCTTCTTTTTTATTTCCTTTTTATTTCGTTTCTTTCTTTTTCCTTTTTTTTTTTTTTTTAAATTTTCTCCCTTTCTTTTTTTTCCCCTTTTTAACAGATGTTTCATCGGAGTCACTGACGTTCGCAAATTTCGAATAGTTTCATCCTCTGCCGGTCACCTAACTCCGCTAGTTGTTGTTTCTCTCTATGGAGTAAAAAAAGGAAAAAAGAGAAAAAAGAGAGAGAGAGAGAGAAAAAAAATAGAAAAATAGAGAAAAAAGACGAGAGAGAGAGAGAGAGAGAGAGAGAGAGAGAGTGACAGGGCGGGGAAGAAGGTTCGAGGCAATCGAGTCGCCTACTCGTCGTCGCAGTGCGCAAGCACACCAACGTTTTATCTTCGTTATTCAGTCCGGTGACCAAGATAACGCGATTTTCGATCTCTCTCTCTCTCTCTCTCTCTCTCTCTCTCTCTCTCTCTCTCTCTTTCGTTCACTAGCTCTTTTTTTTTATCCCCTCCCGAGTCACCATTCCCCACCCCTCGTCTCTTGCCACCACAATATCGCAGTGTGCAATTTTACAGGCCCCACGATGCGTCGCTGATAACGACGGCGTTACGATTTTTGTGACAATGTGCCGGCTAGAGCGTTCTTCACAAGCCAAAAGCACCAACGAAACGATTTTTGTCGAAAACGTGGATATCATTCGATTGATCATAGGATCAAACTTTTTAATGCTTTCGGCACGTCTGCGCTCTTTTCTGTTTTTTTTTTTTTTTTTTTTTTTTTCAGTAACGGGGAAGCGAATGGGCGGGCAAAGGGGAGTAAACGATAGTTCTCCCTTCTCGATCGTTACGAACATTTCGATAACAATCATCCATCGATGAGCACTGAGTATAGATATATTATTTTTCTTTGTATTTTGTTTTATTTTTTTTGTTTTTCTGCTTTTTTTCTTCTCTTTTGTTTTGTTTTGTTTTGTTTTGTTTTGTTTTTTTTTCTTTTCTTTTCTTTTCTTTTCTTTTCTTTTATTACTCGCAAAATATTTTGCACAATCTGTTTTTGCTTCGAAAGATAAAAAAAAAATAAAGAAATAAAAGAACAGATAATAATGATAATAATAATAATAATAATTAGTAGTTCCGCGCCAAAACTCATACATGATTTAATGGGTAACTTCAAAGTTATATATATATATATATATATATATATATATATATATATATATATATATATATGATTGGCAAAAAATTATTTCTTTTCAAATTCGAGATATTTAATATTTCTTTTTTTTTTGTTTTCTTTTTTTTATCTTTACACACATGACTATATACTTACAGTGTATATCTATAATATTAATGAACAAAATTAGACAACGTTATAAATTTTAGTTCTGTGAAATTCTAGAAAAAAAGAAAAATTGAATCACAGAAAGAAAAATATAATTCTTTCTGTGATTCGATGATCATCATTTAAATTTAATTAAAAAAGAAAAAAAAAAAAAAGAACAAAACAAAACAAAAACAAAAGCAATGGAAAACTCGAAACATAATTTATTAACGACGATGACGATGATGATAAAGTAGAAAGAAAGAAAGAAAAAAAGAAAAAAATCGAGTGAAACACAGCGTAGTTGGTTATCAAAGCGATAATGTTGGTGCGGTATGGAGAGAATGAGGGAGGATGGGTAAGAGGGAATGAGTATAGTATGATTTTTCTATTTTCGTTATATACGCAACATCGACAGGATGAAATAATATCGATACTCGATGACACCGGCCGCCGTCCGCAACGCAGAGATCGTTGCATTTTGCAAACCGCACAATTTAAATATCTATTATATCGGACGGTGGTTGGTTGGTCTCTGGACCAACCTCTCACCCCTTTTCCCTTGACTTCGTCCCCTTGGTTCGAACCCTCGCGATTCAACCCTTCCCTCCTTCCCACCCTTGACTCTCTTTCACCGCACGAATAGCCATTTCCGCATAGAGATCGCGTTTGTTCGCGGAAATTACCTCTATCTTTTTCTTTCTTTCTTTCTTTTTTTTTTTTTTTTCGTTTGTTTTTTTCCTTCCGCTTGTCTTTTTTTTTTTTTTTTGCAACTCTTCGCGCAAGGGAAATGCGAAAATTCGTTTCGGTTTGTTCACTAAAGCTCGTCTTTCCTGTTCTCCATTATGGTACTTGATATTTTTCGTCGTATGTGACATAGTTGTGATTCGATGCGAATTATCCGATTAAAGAAAAAGACAAGAATTTAAGAATTTATTCTTAAATTAGAAAGAATTTTCTTAGAAAGAATTTTAAGAAATTATTTACAAAATTTAATTCATAATTGTGTGTGTTTATTTACTCATTATTGATGCTCTATCGCAGATGTATGATACATGTACGTTGTACGCGTATATACATATGTATTGTTCGTCGATTGATCAATTAAACGAGACAAATCGATATCTTTGCGTTCTCCTTTCAATTAAATAAATTAATGTACGAGTATGTGGATTTGTGAAAGTGTTACAATTTTTTTCTTTTTTTCTTTTTTTCTGGTAAAATACTTCATAACGAGACATTAAAAGATATATCTTTACGTCTTCATTGAGCCAGTACCATCGTTGACATTCATAAAATTCGTAAGAGATAATATTAATAAAAAAAAAGAAATATAAAAGAATGATTTATTTTTCGCAAAAATTAATATCGCCTGTTTTTTTTTCTTTTGCAAAAGAAAATGAATATAAGAAAATAACCGGTTGAAATAATTTGTAAACGCAATTGTCGTGATTATCTGAAAAAAGAAAAAAAAATAAAAACGAAGAAAAAAAATCAGAAAAAAGTAATTACGAAAAATACGATCTACGAACTTTCTTTTTTTTTTTTTCTATCTTTTCCTATTCTTTATAACCACCTTATACCAGAAAGCGAATGGAATAAAATCCCCGATGGCACTTGTCGTTGCATCGTGTATGCAAGAAAACGAAAACGAAAACGAAAACGAGAACGAATACGTATTTTTCCCTTAACGTGTGAATTTCGTTTGTTGCAG